GCAGTGCCAGAAACATTTTATTATCAGAGTCTTTCTTCCGAGGACGTCTTTTCTTACCTCCCTCGTGCGTTATCCAGGCAAAAGATATATATATATATATATATATTATGCACATGTATGCCTGTGGTCTCTTCCATAACCACAGACGCTTGTGCTACTGATATGCTATCTTATTGTCCTGGGAACCGTGGGGGCATGCGCCTATTGTGAGCACCATGTTGGAATTTGGCACAAGAACGGAGTGCATACATGGGCCACGTTGTTATTGCTATTTTCACTTTAATGTGTCCTTGCGGCACATTTTTTTTCTGCATGCAAATGCCGATGTACTTGGATGACCAGCGAAGCAAGAGGGATAAAAATAAAAAAAAACTGAAGGAGAAATCTTGATGATGTGTGGAGTAAGTTAAGACGATGTGCTGTGTTTGTTTCTTGATTCGCTTCCTACCCATAAGTAGAAGCTAAGTTTTACAACGGATTCCGTTTTCTTATTGCTGCCTCACTTCGTTGTAATTCGATTTTCTTCGCCCTGTTGGTTGTGATGTGTTTTCGTTTTCTTTTTATCCCCCTCTTCACAAATTAAAACAAAAGAAAACGGTAACTTGTGTGTGTGTGTGTGTGCGTGTCTCCCTTGTGCTTTTTTTTGTTGGCCTAAGTACGACGATCATCTGCTGGACACTGTTGGTTGCGTTTGGGTACAGCGTGACGCTTTGCCCTTCCTCCTTGCGTGCAGGGTTGGGTGCGCTGTCTCTGACCAGGTTTCTCTTGCTTTGCATCTAGTGACCCGTTTGACTGTAGCTGCATATTACCTGTTTGCACTGACCCCCGGTGGGTTTTCTTGGCGGTGAGAGGGGCGTGGACGTTGCTGCGAAAGGGGAGGATGAAGCGGCTCCTGACACTGCTCCCCGTGGGGCTGGGTGCAACCTCGCTCGCGACGGCGCGGCGCCTTTTTAAGTCAGACGGAACACCTTACAATAGTGGAGTGGCCGACACCTTGCACGGGAGCGAGTACGTTCACAAAGGCGGCGTAGAGGCAATCGTGGAGGGCGTCGCCGCGGGTCAGTACGCAGAACACAAGCCCCGGGCCACCATGTTTGTTAATAAGCGTCCAGTCGAGATAATACCCCAAGAAGAGAACTTGTTGGAGGTGATGGAGCGGGAGGGCATTCGCGTGCCCAAGTTTTGCTATCATCCCATTCTCTCAGTGGCGGGTAATTGTCGAATGTGTCTGGTGCAGGTGGATGGAACCCAAAACCTCGTCGTGTCTTGTGCCACCGTGGCGCTTCCAGGCATGTCCATTATTACTGATAGTCGCTTGGTGCGAGACGCCCGCGAAGGTAACGTGGAGCTTATTCTCATTAACCACCCAAATGACTGCCCCATCTGCGAGCAAGCCACAAACTGCGATCTGCAAAACATCAGCATGAACTATGGCACTGACATTCCTCGATACAGAGAGGATAAGCGGGCGGTTCAAGATTTCTACTTTGACCCTCAAACTCGAGTGGTGCTTAACCGCTGTATTCATTGCACGCGATGCGTGCGGTTTCTCAACGAACACGCGCAGGATTTTAACCTTGGAATGATCGGTCGTGGTGGTCTCAGTGAGATCAGCACCTTCTTGGATGAGTTGGAAGTGAAAACAGACAATAACATGCCGGTCTCACAACTGTGTCCGGTGGGAAAACTGTATTTGGGCGACGCTGATGAAAATAACGCCGTTGCTGACAAGCTGGACGTTAGTCAGCGGAATTACGCCGTTGCGACAGCCTAGTGGGGGGGCAGCGTGGGTGTAGCATTGAGGGAAGGACTAGAGAGGAGGGTCAGTGTGAGTCCTCCTTGGGAGGTGTGGGGGGGGGGGTCAGTTAATGCGGGGTGTTGCTCTCCGTTCCTGCGTGTTTTCAGTTCCTGCTCTACGGACGCGAGAGAGGAAGAGGGAAGGGGGTGGCAAAAAGTTCATTCAGTCTACTGCATGGATCCCAAGTTTAACACGGCATCTTCTTGTTATTTCGGGGCAGAGTGGGACGGAAGCATGTCACTCGCTCCCTCTCTCGAATATGCGTCTCTCTGTGTATGGTAGTGAGGAGGGAGAAAGGGCAGGGGCAGCCTTGTTTATTTTTATATCTATTTTTGTTTTTCCGTGTGCCTGGCGAGTTTTTCTCGTAGTGCGGGGCGAGAGAGGAACAGTAGTGAGTGGGTGGACACACCATGTATACACGTAGGAACGCGTCTCTCTGTGCGTGCTCCCTCCCCAACGTAAACTTGGCCGCGGGGGCGGGGTCTTCCTTGGTGCAGTTGAAATGTGGTCCTTTCTTCGCTACCTGCGTGAGTGCGAGGTGGTGGCACCACACGAAAGGGTTGTGGCTAACACTTCAACAGATGGGATGTGTGTATTACTTGTGAGCCCCTCCTGCCACCCAAATAGAAACAAAAGAACACACAAATGCACCTACACATGCACACAAGGCCAAGCTTATATATACATATATATATACATAACGAAAAAAAAAAGCCCTATTTTTTTTTCCGCAAAGTGTTTGCTTTCTTTCTCTTGTTTGGTGCGCTACTTTGCGCGTCTGTGCGTGGCGCAGCTTTCGGTGACGCCTAGCAGCGAGTGGTCATGGCATTGATGGCATTGTAAAAAGCCACTGCCCTTTCTTTCTTCTTCTATTCCTGCTTGCTCGCATTGTTGTTGCTGTTAAAACCAATGAGGTCGGCGGAACAGATGGACGCCGTAGTTTCTCCTTACGAGGTGCTTGGCGTCCCCACTTCGGCCTCGGTCGCAGACATTCGTGCGGCATTCAAGCGTCTAGCACTCTGTACCCATCCCGACAAACAGATATGCGGCAGGTCAGATGGGGAGGAGTTGGCGGTGGCGCACACAATTCAACCCTTCCATGCCGTAAAGGAAGCCTCGGAGCTGTTGCTTGACCCGCTGCGTCGTGCTCGGTACGACCATGGACAGGAGCAGGCGCTTGTGCGGTCCATCGGTGCGGTAAGTGATCGGTACGACTTGAGCGAGTTTATTCTTGTGGAGGAGAAATGTGTGGGCGATGTCACCGTGCATGATAATAGAGTGCTAAGGATGCGGGTTTACACGTTGGAATGCCGCTGCGGTGGTGCTTTTGAGGTGTTTGTCACCGAATGCGAGGCCGCGGCGGGGGGAGTAGACAAATTTTGCGAATGTGACTGTTGCTCCCTGGTAATTGCAGTAACGGGCGGTCGTGCGGCGTTTAAGTGATGACAGTTCCCGTCCTACCTGTTGTTGTTTTTCTTGTCTCTCCTTGCGCTGGTCTCGCGGATTTACGTTGCGGAGTAGTGCCCGCAATTTCTTCTATAAATACGACTGAGTGCTGCTGCAGAGATAATAATAACGAACGGGAGAAAGAAGGTCCCAACTTAGTTCAGTCTCATGTGACAGAAAGTTGTTGTTTTTTTTTTCTTTTCTTTTTCTTTTTTCTTTTTCTCCTCCACGTCGCATTAGGATGTCGGCGTTGCGGCATTCTACCTCGTTGCATTGATCAAAAACAATGCTGCGTCGCGCTGGGGCCCCGTTTGGTGGAAGAGTTCCCAAGAGAAAGACGCCGAACCGGATATTTTCTGCTGGGCGGCGTGGAGCGGCATCGCCTCCATCGGTGCGCCTCTTGGGGCGCGCAGGTGCGGCGTTAAGCTCCCTCGCGTGCGCTCTATTCAGTCGGCGGGTGCACACAGGAGTGGGGCCTGCGGAGGCGCCTGACACCGCGGACGAGGACGAGGTGACGTTGCAGGATTACGAGGAGCTGCTGCTTCATTCTGCGGCCTCGGAAACACCTGAGAGCGGGGGTCGCGGCGACGCCGCGCAGGAAGCTGCGGTGCCCCGCCACCCTAACCAACCCCCTGTTTCTGCAACAATGCGGCTCGTGGGCGACATCCTGGAACTGCTCCCTGCCGATGGCGCAGGAATCCGCCTCACCACAATCACGCCTCTCCTAGACGTGGAGGCCATAAGTGAGCTCTTTGGCTCCGTCCTTGCTTTTGTGCAGCTGTTTCCTCATCGCTTTCATGCTTACCAGGGGGAGGAGGCCGACGGAGTTCGCCGCTGGTTTGTGAGTCGTGCGCAGTCCACGGGAATCTCGCCGCCCTCCATGGCGGCGGACGGGGTAACACCCGCGGGGGAGGGTGGGGGTGGAGGTGCTAGTAACGTTGCTCAGACACAATTGCGAGTGCGGCTTCACGGCGTGGATGCAAAAGTCGATGATACGAAATTGAATTTGGTTCTTCAACGGCTGAAAGATGTGCTGCCTAGAAACAGACCGACTCCGACAAACGGACTGCTGCAAACCTTACCAATGGAGCTTCAAGACTCTATTCGAGATGTGGGAGGTGGGCTACTACGCCTATTGAAGAATGCGGTGGCTGAGGCGTATGTAGACCTTAGCGAGGACACATCTTTTGTGTCCGTAAAAGGGGTTCTTTCCTCTCAAGGAATACCAACATTTCATGGCTTGTCAAAAAGGGCAGCTCCTCTTCGAAACGCCGCACCAGTGATGCCGCTGGAAGACTACGCAGATGACGCATGGGACGTTGAACTTGACCTGGACGAAGATGATGCCGTCACTCCTGGCGACGACCGTGTCGATGATGCCGAGCCGGACGATGAGTTTCTTCGCGGTGGTGGCTCCGCCACCGCGGTTGTTCCCAGTGCCGCGCAGAAGCAGCAGCAGAGGAACTTGTCTATACCACCTGCCCCTCCAAAGCCGCCTGTAAGATTGGAAAAACCCCGGACGCCCCCGCCATTGCCTTCGAGACGCAAAGAAGCTACCTCATCAAGAGGGCGGATGTCGCCCGAAGAACTTCTTACAGCGCACACAACAATGGCCGTGTTGCGCGGGCGACGATCACCCAGCGAGATGTTGGACTTATTTGTTGAGTGCGTTCCCACCATTTACGTTCCTGTACATCAGATAAAAGTGACGGATGCTCTGGCAAGGGTCCTCGGACCAAGGAATACAATTCACAAGGTTATTAAAATCTACTCCTACTACTTTGATCGAAATAAGGAGTCCGACACTGTGCGTTTAAAGTCAACGCTTCAGCATGCACGTCTGGGAGCCGCCAATGCTCTTTACGAGGCTGGGTCCAGTGGGGCATCATCCTCTACTAGCCTTCCGCAGCGTAAACTACAAGAAACCAGCGTCACTCATGCATTCCCCATTCTGAATACACCTATTCGCACAAAAGCGGTCTCTTCTACCATACAACGGAAGGGGGGGCCTTTTGTGAATTCTGCATCGGATACTGTAGCTCCAGTTGACTGTCCGATGTCGGAGTGGTGTGCGCTGCTTGAGGCGCTTCCATACGAACGTTACATAGGCGTCACAGAGTGGGCACGCCTCGCCGGCGTTGCGGAATCCACTGTCAAATTATTCACTGAAAAAAAAAACAATGAACACTACTTTCTGACATGTAACACACCTGAGAAGGGAGATGAGACGCTTTTATGGCGGCTTCGTCCGTACTGGCTAGCGCCTGGATGCACAGGAGAGCTGGGATCTGAGGACGCTTTTGAGGCTGTTGCGATTGAGAAACATCTTAAGCCTATTTGGATTTCCGTCGACCGATTGCTTCAAAAATTGTCAGCCCCAGAAAAAGACAATGTTCTGGCTGTTTCCCATGGAAGCGGGGGCGTTGGGCCGTGGCTTCGCAAATTTGGTCGGATGTGCTGGGTTGATAAGGAGGGGACAAAGATGCGGAAGTACTGCGCCACCGCCGACCTCGATGATATCCTCCATGTGGTGGTGCAATACTTGCAGGGCACGTTACCCACCACCTTTGTCAACTTGGAGGAGAAAATTCTGCACGATACCGTCTCCTCTGCGCAGACAGGCAGTGGAAGAATAATGCACCGGAAAGAAGGCATTCGGTGCCTCATTGACCACGGTCTGAAGATAGCGCGTCAGCAGGCACTTTCCTCGCAGCCTTATGCTGGTCAATGCAGTCATGAAAAACGCGCCAAACAGGAGAACCTTTATCTGCTATTGAAGCGGCATCCCCAGCAGGTGAACGCCAAATACGAAGAGGGAATCCTATGGGCTGCAAAACATTCCTTCTTTGGGAGACATGCCGAAAAATAATATTACAAACCTAATAAATGCATAGTTGGATGCCGCAAATACCACTACACAATGAAAACAACAAAAAGACAACAATTATTCACAAACAACGCAAAAACATTAACGCTAAAAAAACCTCAAAAGTACTGTATACCAAACAACTGTTTACTAACAAACCAAAACGGAAAAAGCAAAAAGGTACAAGAAACTGCCTACGCAATACTCCCTTCTCTAACTCAACTTCTACTACTAGTGGTAAGCTTTTGTAGCGCGCAGCCAATTACATCACACCCATGAGCGATAAGAACGAGGAGACGGTGTTTAAGAACGGAAATGATAGTCATTCCGACGAAGAGCACCCGCCACAGAAGCCGAAGCGGCGTCAGTCGGTCCTCTCCAAGGCCATTAGTGAACACAAGGAGGACGACGTCGACGAGGCGCCGCTGCTGCCGCCGTCGAAGGGCCTGACGACTGCTGAAGCCGAAGAACTCCTCGCCAAGTACGGCCGCAACGAGCTGCCTGAGAAGAAGACACCCGGTTGGCTGATATTTGTGCGCAACTTGTGGGGCCCCATGCCCTTTGCGCTGTGGGTCGCCATCATTATTGAGTTTGCGCTGGAGAACTGGCCCGATGGTGCCATTCTTCTTGCCATTCAGCTGGCCAACGCCACGATTGGGTGGTACGAGACAATCAAGGCGGGTGACGCCGTGGCCGCGCTGAAGAACTCACTGAAGCCAGTGGCGACCGCCTTCCGTGACGGGAAATGGCAGCAGCTGGATGCGAGACTACTGGTGCCCGGTGACCTTGTGAAGCTTGCATCCGGCTCCGCGGTCCCTGCCGACTGCAGCATCAACGAGGGCGTGATCGACGTGGACGAGGCGGCGCTGACGGGGGAGTCGCTTCCCGTGACGATGGGACCGGACCACATGCCCAAGATGGGCTCGAACGTTGTGCGTGGTGAGGTGGACGCAACGGTGCAGTACACCGGACAGAACACCTTCTTTGGCAAGACGGCGGTGCTGCTGCAGTCCGTGGAATCCGACCTTGGCAACATCCATGTGATACTTGCACGGGTGATGGTGGTGCTGACGAGCTTTTCGTTTGTGCTGTGCCTGATCTGTTTCATTTACTTGCTTGTGAAGTTTTATGAAACGTTTCGTCGTTCACTCCAGTTTGCCGTGGTGGTGCTCGTGGTGTCCATTCCGATTGCTCTTGAGATTGTCGTGACGACGACGCTTGCGGTGGGCTCGAAGAAGCTGTCGAAGCACAAGATCATCGTGACGAAGCTGACGGCGATTGAGATGATGTCGGGTGTGAACATGCTGTGCTCGGACAAGACGGGGACGCTGACGCTGAACAAGATGGAGATCCAGGACCAGTGCTTCACCTTTGAGGAGGGCTACGACCTGCGCTCTGTGCTCGTGCTGGCCGCGCTCGCTGCGAAGTGGCGTGAGCCGCCCCGTGACGCCCTGGACACGATGGTGCTGGGGGCCGCGGACTTGGACGAGTGCGACAACTACACGCAGACCGAGTTTGTGCCGTTCGATCCGACGACGAAGCGCACGGCTGCCACCCTGATTGACAAGCGGACCAACGAGGAGTTCAGCGTGACGAAGGGCGCACCGCACGTGATCATCCAGCTGGTGTACAACCAGGACGAGATCAACGACCAGGTGGTGGATATCATCGACAACCTTGCCGCGCGTGGCATCCGCTGCCTTTCGGTGGCCAAGACGGACGCGCAGGGCCGCTGGCACCTGTGTGGCATCCTCACCTTCCTCGACCCCCCACGCCCTGACACGAAGGAGACGATTCGCCGAAGCAAGCAGTACGGCGTGGATGTGAAGATGATCACTGGCGACCACGTGCTGATTGCGAAGGAGATGTGCCGTATGCTTCGCCTCGACCCGAACATCCTGACGGCGGACAAGCTGCCGAAGGTGGACGTGAACGACCTGCCGGATGACCTCGGTGAAAAGTACGGAGAGATGATGCTTGGTGTTGGTGGATTTGCGCAGGTGTTCCCGGAGCACAAGTTCATGATCGTTGAGGCGCTTCGTCAGTACGGGTTTACCTGCGCGATGACGGGCGACGGTGTGAATGACGCCCCGGCGCTGAAGCGTGCGGATGTGGGTGTTGCCGTGCAGGGGGCGACGGACGCCGCGCGCGCCGCGGCGGACATGGTGCTGACGGGTCCTGGACTGAGCGTTGTGGTCGAGGCGATGCTTGTGTCGCGGCAGGTGTTCCAGCGCATGCTTTCCTTCCTGACGTACCGTATCTCTGCTACGTTGCAGCTTGTGTGCTTCTTCTTCATTGCCTGTTTCTCTCTGACCCCCCGCGACTACGGCAGTGTTGATGCGGAGTTTCAGTTCTTCCACCTTCCTGTGCTGATGTTTATGCTGATCACGCTTTTGAATGACGGCTGCCTGATGACGATCGGCTACGATCGCGTGGTGCCCTCCAAGTTGCCGCAGCGGTGGAACCTCCCCGTTGTGTTCACGAGCGCGATTATTCTGGCTGCGGTTGCTTGTGGTTCTTCACTCATGCTGCTGTGGATTGCGCTTGAGGCTTGGAGTGACGAGACTTACCAACACTCCTGGTTCAAGAGTCTTGGGCTCGCCCAGCTGGAGCAGGGGAAGGTTGTGACGCTGCTGTACCTCAAGATTTCCATCTCTGACTTCTTGACCCTCTTTTCTTCACGTACCGGCGGGAAGTGGTTCTTTTCCATGGCACCTGGACTTGTTCTGCTCATTGGTGCGATAATATCGCTGTTTGTGTCGTCAATGGTGGCCTCCTTTTGGCACAAGTCGAGTCCGGATGGTTTGCTGACGGAGGGCCTTGCGTGGGGGAAAACCAACAGCGAGAAGCTGCTGCCGCTGTGGGTGTGGATCTACTGCATTGTGTGGTGGTTTATTCAAGACATCGTCAAGGTGCTGACGCACATGTTGATGGAGTGGACGGATCTGTTCGGCTGCGTGTCGAAGGCTTACGGCGGGAATGTTATTGAGCAGTATATGGAAAAGAGAGGTAACGAGCCTGATGAGGACAATGAAGATTGCCAGGAGACATCTCCTGTTGAGGTGAGTACCCCATTATCTGGAAGGAAGCATGAAAAGGAAAGTGGTGGTAAATCTTAACCTGGCTGTTTTTATTAATATTGTCTTGGCCCCCTGGCCTCCCAAGTGTGGACTGCTTGGGTTTTTCCGTTTCCCCTGAAAAAGCTTCATTATTGCATGTGTTGGTGCACGTCTAATTATTTGTGACGTTGTACCCATAGGGTAAATTGAGTTCCGTGGGGATCTATTCTGCCCACCGTGCCTCTGGGTGGACGCTTATGTATCTGTGAATGAGGCCCATAGGAATGTGCGAAAT